GGATGAAGCTTCTAGAGATTCTGGAAATTCTTGATCTGAGATAAATCTCATCAAGAATAACCTAACTTAAGAGCTTATAATTTCTTATCTAGTCCTCCTTTAAGAAAATCATGTAAGTGCTCACTTAGATTATCTTGTCCTTAAGACTAAATAAGAAATCATCCCTAGTTCTCTTAGGGTAGCCAAAAGATATGCACTCTTCCATACAAGATTCCATCTCATTTGACTGTTGTTGTAGGACGTGTGTCGTAGCACCCTAAATCCGAATATGGTTTGATCTGGGCTTGCACCCTTTCCATAATTCTTTAGGTGTCTTTACAACAAAGTTTTGACGGAATCAAGTTAAGAAGGTACATTTCCTTCTCTTAGGCATCTCCCTTGAACAACATTGACAAAGATGAATAATTGAACATGATCTTCACCAAGTCTAGAAATGTTTGATTTTTGCATACTGCAACTTCATTCAACTAATGCGTTCTTAGAGTTGACAGTTAAAAAAACTATCCCCTCTTAAATCAGGTAAGACCTGAACTTACCAGACAGGTAGCCAACACTTTAGTCAGACCAAAGTGTTTTTGATTTGAACACCTACATGCTTTTCTGCCTCAGACTAAACCTCTTGGAATTTCCAAAAGCTTTAGACTTATGGCGCACTTGGTTCATCTGTCCAAATCCAGAGTAAACATTCATATAATGAAGTACTCATCGCCTCTTCTGGTCTGAACACTAATTGGTCCACATACATTAGTATGTACCAGTTCCAGTTGAATAGTTGCGCAAACCTTTTTGGCCCTTGTAGGATTGCTTGGCCACTTTACCTTCCAAATAGGACTAACATGTAGCTGTTAGTTAAAAGATTATTGAACTTTCAGTTCCTCTTTTAACTAAAATATGTTTCCTACTTGAGATAATATGACTCAATCACAAAGGCCAAAGTTATGTTTCATTTGAAACTTTTATTTCTTTGGTGAAAGTTCTTGTTCATCATCCTTTCCATTCAACATAACAAATTTAAAAAGGGTATATGACATAGGTAATAAAGACTATTTAAACAATGTACCAGAACAAAACAAGACGAAGATGAACTTCGAAATGTAACTGAGGAATCAATTGCATTGTCAAACCATGTTTTAACCAAAACAACTAACAAAAATTGAATTCCTCTTGAAATCCGGAACAAATAAACAGTCACCCAAAACCATAGTCTTATAAATAACTTGTCCTACTGCAAATGCAGACACAAGTTCTCATTTTCAAGCTTAAAATATATATGTCCATTGCTGACAGGTATGCCATGTTTGAACTGCTACAAAGAGTAACAAACACAATCAGTGATTCCTGAATCAATAATTCATTCACTGATCAGGCCTTGATATGCCCATGTCTGGTTCTTTTCATCACCTCTGGGCAATTTTTCTTTCAGTATCCCTTCAGTCTGCACTTGAAGAACTTGCCTTGCGGCTTCTTCATAGCAACTGGTTTGACAACTGATAACCAAGTCATTTTGTTCTTGTTACCACCCTTGGGTTTCCCTTTGGATTAAACAAGACTCTTAGCAAAACCTGCACCGACTGCATTCTGTCTAGCAGAGCTGCTAGACGCAGCAAACATGTCATTAAGAGTCTGAAGCATTTTTACTCCACTCTTAAGCATGTACACTTGCTTCTGCAAGTATTTGGAAAGACTGACAATAATATAGCAGCGAACTACCATATCTGCCCTTTCCCAATCTGAGAAATGCATCTTAGTTTTCTTAGACGCATTCTCTGCAGGTTGCTATGGCCCTCGCATTGTCAGGACAAATTTTAGCTTCCATGTTTTAGAACAATATCAAAGATTTGCTTTTCACTTATTCATAGTTGGTACCATCTAGAGGTTTTCGACTCAAAATCATTTCTAAGATATTTTCTGAAAAACATATAAAGCACACAATTACAAACAAATAATGCAATAAACAACCGAAGTGCGAGTAGATTCTCATAACTACTCTTGTTTATTGTTAACAATCCTTCAGTTTATCTTTACAAGGCTTACGATGGGCAAGTCACTTGTAAAAACCAAAATTGTTATTTGGGCCTTCAGTGCCATTGCCAGAGCCTCGATGGGAGGGTTAACAATTTTACCAAAGTTGAATGTTATTAACCATTGTTTAATTTCAAAATTATCCTTAGTGTCTAAGCATTGCCGACGATGGGCCGTACAATACTTTACTAAAATTTTGAAATTATTAAGATTTAATCTAGTGAAATCTGATTATCCTTATCCGATGGGGCTTCAGCGATAACCATTTCACTAATAAACCCACAAATGGAGCCCACAAGTTTTAAAATTAATTAATTTTTAAAACCTTCACCCATTCAACATTTTTGTTTGAGAATTTTCATAAGCCCTGTCGAATTCATTGTTTAATTTCAAAATTATCTTTAATAACTTAGTATTATTGACGATGGGCCGTACAATACTTTATTAAAATTTTGAAATTATTAGGCCCAATAAAATCCAATCATGCTAATCCGTTGGGGCCTCACATGATTATTTTATTGATAGGCCCACAATGCGCCTGGAGGTTAAATTAATTTCTTAATTTAAATCTCCTCCCATAATTATTTAGGTCCAATCTAATAAAATCCAATCATGCTTATTCGATGGGACTTCACATGATTATTTTATTAATGGTCCTTATAATGCGCTTGAAGGTTAAATTAATTTCTTAATTTAAATCTCCTTCCATTCAACATAAGCAACATTTTCTAATTTCCAAGAATTATTTAATTGAGAGTATCCTTTGTTTGATTTCAAAAACTATATAAGTAAGAGTGCCGATAAACGTGCACTAAGCTTAACATAATTTTGAAAGCATTAAGGTCCTGAAATCCGGTCACTTTACGTCAGCGTGTGCTCCAAACAATCATGATACATGAAGGTTGGATGCAGCGTGTGTTATTCCATGACCATTTCAGAAAACCCACAAATTACTCGCAAAATAAAAGAATTCTCTCAGGAAATTTTCTCTAATTATTTTTCTAGATTTAAATCATCCAAATAGCTGACTTAATTATTAATCTAGATTGCAACAATCATAATAATTATCATTTATGAGGATAATTTGAAATCAAAATAATTTCCATAACGATTATTTGTCTTGATGTTAATTATCCAAAATTAATTAATTCAATTATTAATCTAGATTTTTAATAAAAATCATAATAATTATTAATTAATTTCTTAGGATGATTTAAAATCAAAATAATCCCGTAATAACTATCATACTAGTCGCTGAAGACATAATAGCTATTATGCTCATGCAATCATACAAGTTATGCAACAATATGGCACCACCTATTCTATATGGCATGTTATCGCAATAAAGCATGTTATCAATCATATAATTTATACCAATCAATAAAAGCATTAAATAATAAATCATAATTACTTTAATCCATGGCCTTCCTATTTTAAAGAAAATAAAATAAAATAAAATTAAATAATACAACTTTGGAATTCGACTTTCGCCTAGCCCATAGTATCTGTCTCAAGCCCCTTTAGGGTTTCATGGGCCCAAAAGCCCAAAGACCCAATCCTTTGGCGAGAAACCCTAGGACGCGAAAGAGGAACCCTAGCCGTCAGGTCTGCCGCGCCGTCACCCGAAGTCAAATCAGGCTGAAACTCCAGGGGAAGGACAGCCACGTAGAGATGAGTGCACCGCCGCCGGAACCACCCAAAAAGGTGGCCGGACGCTCTCTCACTCTCCCATTCTTTGCCGGAGAGTGACGGCCACTCTCAGAATCTTGTGGAGGCGCGTGGAGGAGCGTGTAAACTCAGATGGCGGTGTGCCACCCACCGTTGCGTTTGTCTTTCCGTCCTCTTTCCAACCATATATAGATCGCCCTATTCCGAGATAGGTAAGTTCTCGAAAAGTCTCCGACAGTGCTGACTACGCATCTTCCTCGCAATTTCTCGATCTTGAACTTTTACAAAATATTGAAAAAATACACAGAAATTCCAAAAATAAAATAATCCAACAAGGAGGAAACCTAATCATATGGGATTAGCCTCCTTGTTACAAATCGAGAAATACACGAGAGACCCTAACCATGGATTAAAGCATTTTTACCGATTAAAATTTAAACTTTTATGAAAATGAATTATAAAATACACATGCTAGATTCATACCATAATCCTAGAACTCTAGGTGCCACATTTTAAGAAGCAAAACTAATTACATGAATAGTGAAACTAGATTCACATACCAATGTACAGCCAAGGCTCTGATACCAATTGAAGGAAATCTTAGATTTATGCGGAAGCGGTTTAGGACCTAGTACATTGGTATGCTTACCGAATCATCCTTGTTTCACAATTACCTCTCGGTGCGCAGGTGTCGTGTAGAATCTTCCCTTGTAGGATTCCTCTTCACGAACAGCTCACCTTAGCGCCGCAGCACGAACAACCTCCTTGAAGCTGGACTGTGGCAGATCTTCCAGACTATCTCTCGAGGAGGATGAGATGGTTGTGTGGGCAACCGTTCAGATGATGAACGTCTGCCTCTTGGGGTTTGTTTCTGATGATCTATTCACCTTGGAGGCACAAGAGGAGAAAACTATGAATATATACGCTTAGGTCTTAGACATAACTCAACCCTAAGCCTCATGGGCTCAAGTTTCACTGAAGCCCAATAGGACTTTAGTGACCAAAAGAGCATATATCCAACAGGTCCAAGTCAAGAAAGTTACAACAATTAATGAGTGTAAAATGAAAAAGGAAAAAAAGGTAAGGGTTAATGGTTGCAAGATCGTGCAAATCAAAAGCAATAGCTGCAAGACATTTTAGAACTAAAACTGGTGGGTGTGAAACGCTTAACAATGAAAAGTAGTGTGCTACAACAAGACCTCAAAAAAGTTAAATTAAAGTAGCACGTGTCAAGCCCCGTAAAAACAAAAAGCAATTCGTATAAGACCTTTAAAAATATAATATATAACGGGCACAAGACCCTTGAATAATCATATGTAGAATGGCGGTAACCTCTCCAACAACAACTCAGTGTAAAATGTATTGGGAAGCATTTGGATTTCTTTCTCTTGGACTAAGCCTCCATTAGCCTTTCTCAACTGCAACGGAAATAACTCTGGCCAAATCATGGTGAAAACATCATCTTCGTCTTCCTTATATACCAACTCAGTTCTTGCGGAAATCTCAACCTCTTTGGTTCTCTTGTCTCCACATTCAACTTGTTTTCTTGGTTCTTGATGAATGTCTTCCCCCGAACAAACATTCCTATCGACCTACCAAAGAGAAAGCAAGAAAACAATATTAAAGAGTTGTGTGATCAAAGTATATAAATTATGTTCTGAATCACTAAACTGTGAAATCAAAACCCTTAAAAGAATATCGCACACCATTATTTACTTTATGATTTTAAAATTTTCTCTCTTTTTTTGTATTAAAATGTTCTCTTTTTATATATATTTTTAAATTTTATTTAAATTAACCAATGATGCCCCATGAACTTTCATATACTTTTACATCTAAATATTTAAATTTAATTAAAATTTCCGTTCAATTTAACAAATATAGCGCAATTAATACTTACATATGCGGTGGGAGCTCCAAGTCCAAGAACAACTCTCTTCCTTTGTTGGGTCACCTTGATCTCTTCTTGCCTAGTTCTATTTAAATTCTTTTTGTTATAATCATCATGTCGTATATTCTTTCTTAACCTGCATAGAACATAATTGTTGGCCTACATGCAAGATATATACAATAATCAATTTAAACTTTATAGTTTATAATATCGAACAAGATCAAGATTCTTGAAAGAAAAATGTAATATAGAATACAATGATACAAATAACAACAATGGAGTAAGTAGAGTGCTTACAGATTAATTGTTTAACAATGATGAATCAATGCTATATTCATGCAAGATCCAAGCACCATCATTGTCGGTGCCACTCTTTTCAAAACGTAAACGTCACTTTACCCCAACACATTGCTTCGTGCCATTAGCCACAACATTTTTTCCCCTGTCTTCACCTTCCCATGAACCATACTCAATGGTGCGAACCGAGCGTGACCAAGTGGAGAACTTTTTCTTTAGGGTGGTGAAGAAATAAAGGTCAGTTCCACGATAAGAATGTGAACCTGCAAAGTCTTCCCAAATCTCCCAAGGGTTCTTTATACCAAATAAGTCATATTCAAGAATAGTAACATCTTTAGGCAATGGGTTCCCATTGATCTTATTGTAAAGAAACAATTGAATGAGTTCATCATCGGTGGGGTTGAATTCATTCCTTGAGCAAGAAGTAGAAGCCATCAAATCTTTGATAATTTGCATATACAATAAGAAAGAACGAAAGAGAACCGAAGAACAATGTGGAAGAAAGCCACAAGAAAGCTGGCTACGTATATATATATTAGGTTTGATATAATCACGTGATGATAAATACTTTGATGGATATTTTCCTTTTTTTAGTTATGATGGATATCAAATTGAGAATTAATTTTTTTTTTTTTGGATAAACCACGTGTATCTTCCACGGGAGACAGACAATCCTGTTCGGGGCGGGTCTAGGATTAAGGCTTTAAACATCCCTCAAATATAGTACTGGGAAGGATCAAACACTTACATGCTCAGCTCTCATGTGCCAACTGAGATACTATTATTTGGTAAATTGATGTGCCAACTAAGATACTATCATTTGGTAAATTGATAATTACTTTTTCCGTTATAATTGATATCAATTTGATAATTACGGATAATATTCTAGTTTCCTGTTTTTGAGGTATAAATAATAACAATTTTATATTTGGTTAATTGATATCCTAGTTGCCAAATTTTGAGATATAACTAATATATGTACCAACAAAATTGTATAAAATAGAATTTTTTTGAATTATAATTAATATCAAATTATCAGCTCAGATAATTACATTCAATCTCCCGCGTGAATATAAACCACCTATGATGCACCGACACTGATACTGACATGGGACACGCGATATGACACGACACGACTCGTCGACACGTAAATTCTAAAAAATGTCATATTCTGACACGTTGGGACACGTTTTGATATTAAATAATATTTTTAATATATATAATATAATTTATATTTGATACATATAACAACTCATAATAATTCATATAACCAATCAAATTTTCAAATTTTATAACATAAATATAAACAAAAATAATTTTTTATACCTTGTTAATTTTTTATGTCAAATTTCATAACAGAAAAAAATTGATTTAGAAATTATTTTTTTATGTTTAGTTAATAAAATAAAATTTAGCTCTAAAAAAACGTGTCGGATGCGTGTCGAAGCGTTGACCGCGTATCGAAAAAAGTTAACTCTGTGTCGAAAAAATGTGTCGAAACATTGACTGCGGGTCCTAAAATATTAACCGTGTGTCGGACGCGTGTCGGAACCTGTCGGAGCGTGTCCGACACGCATTTTTTTTCAAAACACTGCGTGTCCGTGCATCGCAGTAAACCACTGCCCAAAAAACCGTGACATATAGTACGTGCCTTTTAAAGGTTTTTTTTTCTTTTTTAATATAAGTAAGGGTTCGCTTTTTTGTAGTTAATATAGATAAGTTATCTGCAGTAAGTCTAATACGACGTTGTTTTGGGACAAAAATATGATGCTTTTGTAATTTGCGAGAGTACAGGTAAGATTTGCGAGAGTACAGGTAAGATTTAGACGATAACAAAGAGACTGTTTTCGAATTCGAATCCATAATTTTTCTTTCAAATAATTTTTTTTTCCTGAAAGTTTTCGGCTAAGATTTAATTTAAGATTTATTGGTCAAATTTTCTTGGAAGTTGGAGCGTTCATATCATTACAAGAAAAGAAAGTATTCAAATAGAAGATTACAACCAAATATCCTTGCCACATATAATAAGAGTCTAAGAGAGCAATGTTGTTAAAATCGAGATCTTAAATAAAATTGGAAGGGGATTAAAAAATCGTAAAACATAAAATCGTAATGTAAAATAATCGTAAAAACATAAAAGCGTTTAGAATATTAGTAAAATCGTTTGCATGAAAAAAATCGTAAAAACGTAAATCGTAGTGATAAATCGAGATTTTAACAACAATGTACCAGATGTTTCCATTTCAAATCTTCATAATGGAGAAAAAGATTTGAGGAACTGCCCCCTTTAATAAGGTGTGACAAATTCTCAAATCAAATATAGTCAGAAAAATGAATAAGTTAGAGAACTAAAAAAAAAAAAAAAAACATTAGAAGATTACAAAATAAAATTTATGTCGTAAAACGTCTGTAATGAATTAATTGGATATTATCTGTCGTGTGAAACATTCTCATTTTGACTTTTATATTGTTTAATTGACTTGAGTCACAGGTCATTAAATTAAAGAAGAAATTGTTACTAAATTCTTTTTCATAAAAAATTGAATCAACATGATTAAAAAATAAAACTGTCTTCACTATGGTTTCAACCGAATGCCTGTTCTTCAAAAAAATTTAAAACAACAAATCTAGTAAAAATTATAATTATGAAAGATATATAATATTCCTTAGTAGAAATACCTCTATTCCGTAAATAAATTAGTGTACATTGAATAAAAAATTATTACAATACAATTCTTGGTGGAAATTTTTTCATTGATTTTATTAATTAAACTCTTTCTTGAAAGGTATTTAATTTGAACTTGATTAAAAAAACAAACAAACATGAGACCAATTATATTTAAAAACAAACAAATGAACAAGTATTCAAATAAAATATACAATTAAATATTATTGACACTAGTTATACTTTTGCATATTAATTTTATGGGAGTTATTAATCTCATGTTACTTGAGATAGTTCTCTCATATGTGTGAGATAAATATGTGGGGTCCACACTTTAAAACAAAAGGAAAAAGAAATGGAAAAAGCTGGTATAAAATTCGATGAGTGTATAAAATGAGATAACTATCTCCAATGATATGAGAAAAATATTTCCCTAATTTTATTGTTAACTTGTTAGATAATATTCTTAGCCATTATGATAGTTGTTTTGAATCAATTCATTTATGAATAAAATTAGATCTATTTAAAATATTCCAAAAATAGTGGATAGTTCTTTGTATAGAGGGAGAACTCATTTTCGGTTCTGCGGTGTTATTAAATTATTTCATTTTTTTGCTCCAAAAAAAAAACTATTTCATTTTCTTTATGGTTGTTGTACCGTTTGAGGTCTACAAGCCCACTATGTTCCTTTCTGGGATAGAGTCACTGTATGGGTTTTACCTCTAGCACAGGTAGAGACCAAGCTAGGAGATATAGTCCCAAGTATGAAGCTTACACATGATAATGGGGATCGGGTGTGTGTGTATATGACTCAAGATAAATGGACAGAATAACAATACATAAGATGTCTCTCCTTGTGTGTGGAGAGGGGTATTTATAAGGGAAGGTGATATTGATCCTGTGTAGCTTGGTGAGGAGGGGGTCAACCCTCCTTGGGATTAGCTAAGGGTGGAAGACACTGCTAAGGGTGGCAGGCATTGCTATGGTAGCAGTGATGCACCCCCTGTGCCTGGCGATGTCAGCATGTGACAAAGGGCAGTTTCCACTTATAGTATCTGGGGAGGTCTCCCTGGGAGTTATAATCCCAAGATGAGACATTTTGTTGCCTCACCTAGGGAGCATCGTCGCCTTGGGGGCAGGGAAGCTGAGGGTTAGTAGGGCTGACGTGAATAAGGGGTTTGGGCTTAGGCCTTTGGGCCACTATATCGTTGGGCCATCCGTAACAGGAGCCCCCCAGCTTGGTAGCGAGCGTAGGTTGGTGCCAAGATAAATGGTTTTGGGTGATACTCTCTAGCTGGCGATCTGAGTGGTTGGTATTGGTAGGGTGAGGGAGTCTCTTAGTGATTTGGTGAACCTTTAGGAGTCTTGGCGGTTTAAAGGGGGTTCCGTGCTTGGCAATTTGGCTTCTTAGCGGGTCATGTGGCTCGCGGGGGACTTCCTAGGTTGCCACCTGTCTCTGGCAGGAAAGGTGGCTTTTCCATTTTCGAGGGATAGTAATGATGGATGCCTCCATCATTGCTATTAACTGCAGGCACTCAAACGTCACGAAGCACGACGCATTAATGCGATGTGATAGGTGTCTTGTCCCCCTGTAATTACCATAGGGTCCTTAATCACAATCGCTTATTATCTGACGGTTGTGTTATCCTACGGTCAGCATTGTGGGGCGCTACACGTGTACACCATCCTTATCCCTTTGGCCCTATTTAAAGGGGGGTTTCCCCTCTATGAAACCTTCTTCGCTGATCTCTGGCTCTTGTCTTCTCCCTTCTGGTTTTCCCTCTTTTGTGTGAGTGGGTCGCATTGGTCCTCTTTTCTTCCATTCTTCCTACCTCTACAGTCTTCGTTACCTCAGGTACAGTGTTTCTAGCTTGTAACTTCTCTTATTTCTTTACTTTTCCTTGGCTTTGTTTTCGTTCTCTTCTTTCTCGTGATGGTTGAGTTAAAGGACTTGACTGGTTTGGTTTTGCCTGAGCTGGGGGTGGTTGTTAAAGAAGAGGAGTTTGATGAAGCTTTTGATACGTTTGATGGCTGTGAAGTGGGGCCGGCTATGTGAGCATTTCTCGCTGGTCGCGGTGGGGAAGCTAATAGCGCTCCCCCTCGCCGTTTTTTTATTCCTGGGGTTGAGTCATTACCTCATGGTAGAATACCAGAGCTTCTGGGTTTCAGCGAAGAGGAGATCCAAAACCTCTTGCCATAGAGGGCTTTGGGTCCTGTGGTGCCATATTCTGGTGAGGCGTCTGGTTCTGGTCTTCGTGGTGGGCGTCAGGCCGTAATTGGTGGGAGGGATTCCAGATTTGGTAGACGTCGGTTTGCAAGATCTGGAAGGCAACAGTCTCGTGGGTCTGGTACTGGTGTTGGGCCTCGTCATCAACGGAGGAGGCGCTCTGGTTCTGCTGGTGGTTCTTTTCTTGACCATGGGGCGGGCATTCGTCGTCGTTCTTCACGGCGCACAGCCTTTGGAGTGGGGCGACTTATTCACCCTTTATCCTCTATCAACCGTGAACTGCATAACCTCCCTTTAGAGCTATACTATCAGCCTCGTCTTTTGCAAGTGATTCATCCGACTGCCGAATCGTCTGTCGCCTTGTGTACATCTTGTAGCCGTATCCCCCCAATTCCCAAGTCTTTCCATCGCCGAAATACGACGAGTCATCCGACAACCGGTTGAGAAGGTATCACCCGGAGGATGCTCGAGTCATACGTTATAGCGTGTGGGATGCGATCTTTGATGATCTGGGGCTTTACAAGGTGCTTCCCCCGTGGTGGT